ACACACACACACACACACACACATTCTCGCACACACACACACACACACACACACACATTCTCGCACACACACACACACACACACACACACATTCTCGCACACACACACACACACACACACACACATTCTCGCACACACACACACACACACACACACACATTCTCACTCACACACACTCACACGCACACACACACTCTCTCACACACACACACACACACACACAGAGGAAGTCTGTTATTGGTCCGCTCCGCTGGACTCGATGTGGATGGCTCTGAGAGCTTAATTTCCGACAGACGTGGAGTAAATTATGCAACAACTGACAGCAGCTCTGAAATGGTGGCCTGATTTCGTCAGAAGGACGGTAGTAGATAGTGTGAAGAGAGTTCAGCCAAAAATAATTGACGTTATGTGCTCACCCTCATGTCGATCCAAACATGTGTGACTTTCTTTATTCAACGAAAACACAGAAGTAGATCTTTCTAAAATGTTTTAGAATTATTTTGGACCCCCCTGACTTTCTTTGTGTGGACAGAAACACTGGGACTGTGAGAGTATGTGAAGAGTTATTTAGGTATCAGTTTCCTAATAAAAGGAAAGTACCACATGTGTGTCATGTAACTGTTAAAATGAAAAGAGAAGCCAGAAATGAAAGCAAAACGAGCCCGGACACGTCCACTGAGCCGCTCTGCTCTTCTGTAGAGCTGTGTTATACTGTGCTGAGCTGATTTCAGAGGTCCGTATGCTGCTCTGTGGGTCTCTCACACTGCTGTTGATCTCCGCTTCACTCGAGAGCGTGTGTGTTGTGTGCTGCATTACTCTTCACTAGCACACCAGACAGTAAAACCAAACTGGAAGAATTATAGGTTTCGTTTGGAAGATTTGGTTCGTGTTGTAAAGCTGTAGACTTTGTGATTTCTTTCACAGCACTAGACGTGTAAAGATATTCCTCCAGCTGTGTGTTTCACGCAGTTACGTCATCTGCTGTGATTCAGAGAGCAGCCAGGATTGATTCCTCTGGAGCAATGATCCCACTCATGTGTTCTCACCTCATCTGAGCTGATGATGGAGCTTTGGACAATATCAGTTAACCGAGAACGGCTCAGTTTCACATTGCATGCTTGTCTTTTTGTCAGGTTGTGCTGTTTGCAGACTGTGGCCAAAAACTCAAGGCTTGATTGTAGCATTGGAACTTCTTGACCTCAGTGTTGAGTTCCTGATTTCATTTCTTGTTTTAATCCAGTGTCTTCACATACAGTAGCTGTATGTGTACTAATCTGTGCAGCATAATATACATCATACACTGTATACTGCCTAGTATTTTTAATAGTATACAAAAAAGATTATTATGCAAAAAGCATTTCAAACTGTTTTGAAGCTATGTTGTCACATGACTTCATGATGTTCTGTATTTCATTCAGCAAGTGGAATCCAGTCATTATTAGGGGTGCTCCGATCAGGATTTTTAGACATTTATTCAGGGTCTGAATTTCATTTTTTCGAAAATGTGGTGAATTCCTCTCTTAGGCACTCTTGTGAGAGAAGCAGCTTTCACACAGGAGTCCGCTACTGATCCGTGTTTACCACAAACTCAACATTTATCCATTATTCTGATTTCAAATCCAAACATTGTCACTGAAAATGCTTTTTCAGCATTGCAATTCTTTTTTTACACCGTACAGTAATACGATCTTTCAAAGACATATTTAAACACAATAAATATAAGCAACACATCATTCAATGCTTTTTACTTTTGTATTTACTGTAGATTTATATATTAAGTTGCTCAAGCAAGTGGCAAAACATTTAAACTACTTTTCTTACGTTATCACAAACTTACCATTGACAGAAATAGTCAGCTCTACTGCCTTTTCTTTTGCATTGAAATCTTTATTACAAGCAATCCTGCGGTTCATAAAGAACTTTGTTTTACTACCTCCACGAGTGCATCTATTATTGCCTTGTTTATCTAAAAGTGCTCTTTCCCTTTAAACCTCGCTAAAAAGCCATGATATGTGTTGACTGTGAAACACAGTAGACTTTAATAATACGCATTTAACAAACACAACATTTATCCATTATATTGATTTCAAATCCAAACGTTGTTACTGAAAATGATTTTTCAGCATTGTAAGTCTCTTTTTACACAGTACAGTAGTACAATCTTTCATACATTATTCAATGCTTTTTACTTTTGCATTTACTTCTAGATTTATATATTAAGTTGCTCAAGCAAGTGGCAAAACATTTAAACTACTTTTCTTACGTTATCACAAACTTACCATTGACAGAAATAGTCAGCTCTACTGCCTTTTCTTTTGCATTGAAATCTTTATTACAAGCAATCCTGCGGTTCATAAAGAACTTTGTTTTACTACCTCCACGAGTGCATCTATTATTGCCTTGTTTATCTAAAAGTGCTCTTTTCCTTTAAAACTAGCCAGCAAAGCCATATGTGTTGACTGTGAAAGACAGTATACTTTAATTATATGCATTTATTTTCGTTTTCATATTTACCGCAAACAATGCGCTGTTACTTTAATTCAGCGCTTGCAGTGCAGCAAACATAGACTCGGTGCTGAAACGATCTCTGCTCTGCTGCAGACGCACCGCTCCTGAACACACTGCCGGACCGCAGCCGTGTGCAGTGAACGCTTTAATCCATTAACATGAGCGCCGAAAAAATACGCACCACATACGCACTGCAAAATAATGTGAACCTGCCGTTATGTGTGTGCACTGCGAGTGTGCATGAGCTCAGTCTCCAGGAGAGCGTGTGAGCGCTGAATGGGTAACACTGGAAAGAATTAAAAAGTAATGCAATTTATAAACTTTAGTGACGATGTGACACTGCCTCGATTATGCAAGTGACAATTCAGCTCGCTTATGGACAGACGTGATGTGGTGATTTGAAGCCATTTGCGTATTTTGAGAAAGAAGTACCTCACCTTCATCATTATAATGATTTCACCCGCGCCGGACAGAGACTGAGATGGTGCCGCTGCATGTGGTGCCAAACCTCATCAGCTCATCAAAGCGTCATCAGCTTGAGATCGGTCGATAGTGATCGGTGGTCGATAGTGATCAGTAGCCGATCAATCGGAGCACCCCTAGTCATTACCACTGAAATTACAAATGCTGTTATGCATTTTTGATTGTGTAAAGTCGTTATTAATGAAATAATGAGGCAAGAATCTGACACAATTTCCAAAAAAAAAAATAAAAATCTCCTTGCTTCACATGGAAAGGTTAAGTTGTGCACCAAGTGCGGTTGTGCATTTCTGACGTGTGTAGTATTCTGAGTGAGTGTGTGTGTGTGTGTGTGTTGAAGGGAAGTTGTTAAAATCCACAGATGATGAATAATTAAGCGGCCTTGTGACTGCTCTCAGCAGGCTGTTTATTGTTCTGCAAGGTCAGAGAGAGAAAGAAGTCGAGTGCCTTTAACTGGAAATAATGTCATACTAGCATCTATATTTGCAGAATGTGTTATGACTCAAGTTTCCAATTTCCAGTCCAGCTCAAATCAGAAATGTAAAGCAAGTGTTTGTTTGTGAAGTGATAGCGGCACACACACACACACTCACACACAGACACACTCACTCACACTCGCACACACGCGCACACGCGCACACACGCACAGACACACTCACTCACGCGCACACACACACAGACACACTCACTCTCACTCACACGCGCACAGACACACTCACTCACACTCACACACTCACTCACACGCGCACACAGACACAGACACACTCACTCACACTCACACACGCGCGCACACGCACAGACACAGACACACCCCACACCACACACACACACACACACAATCACACGAGTCAGTTGTTCTCAGTTATCATGTATGTCGGTAATATCTGTTATTACTGCTATGTTTCCATACTTGTCTGTTAAAGCGTCCTGCGTGCTTTTATCTGTGTTTGTCAGCTGTGTAGCAGATGAGATGCTGATGAAAGCTTTCCTCAGTTCAGTCAGTGTAAACACACACACATATTATGAGTGCAGGACACAAATCCTCCGTCTACCTCGTCCATTCAGCTTCTGAATAATGTCAGACTTTTTTTTTTCTTTTTTTTTTTTTGTGTGTGTTTTGTTTTTATAATATTTTGTAACTGATGCTCCTTCACACACATACCGGTGGCGTGTGTGTTTGCCTGGTCGCTCGTTTGGTTCCCAGATGAGACCCTGAGGAGGTTAAGCTGCTGACAGGCCAGGCTTCTCTGTTATGGGTTTATGACACTACGCTCTGTAGAAGGGAATATTACCACTTCTCTTCTCTTGTTTTGTTCTGCTGTAAGACATCTTGGTCCATGGATCAGAAACGTCGGCTCTTTCTGTGTGTGTCAGTGAAAGTGCTGATGTTTTTCCTCCTGCCTGTGAAACGAGTGTTGCCTGTTAAGCTGTCTTTTGTTCGGTTTGTTTGTAATAACACAATGACGAGTATGTTAGTGGGTGGAAGACGTCAGTGGTTTCCGTTGGGTGTTTCTGGTATACTCAGTATCTCTTGTTTCTGTTGATGTCAGACTGAGGACTGAAGTTGACATTGTAAATTAGGCTTCATCCATATGCCTAATGGAAACTCAATACACACTCATAACTCTCATGTAAACGTGAGTTGGACAGAATCGCAGTGTTTCGTGTGTGTAGATGTGAGTTTTCTCATGTCTCATGTCGTCTCCGACAGTCTCTTCTGCTCCAGTTGTCTCAGACTCTCCTGCTCTTCTCAGCTCAACACACTCCTGCTCCATTAATGCCACACAGCTGTGAGTGTGTGTGTGTGTGTGTGTGTGTGTGTGTGTGAGAGAGAGAGAGATAATGTGTGTGTGTGTGAGAGAGAGAGATGTGTGTGTGTGTGTGTGTGAGAGCGAGCGAGAGTGTGTTTGTGTGAGAGAGAGATAATGTGTGTGAGAGTGAGAGAGAGAGAGGTAATGTGAGTTTTGTTTTTTTGTTTGTGTTTGTTTTTTGGGCTGATCATCTATACCGATATTTTTGAAGCCTTCTTTTTGCACAATAGCTCACACACAGCACAAGTCTGATTTGGTGAGCTGCATGTGAGGCGGCCTCATGCCAGGTTCACACATACTCCGTGTGCAGTGCGTGTGCAGTGCGTGTGCAGTCTGGCAGTCTGTGAGCAGTGTGTGTGCAGTGCGTGTGCAGTCTGTGTGCAGTCTGTGAGCAGTGTGTGTGCAGTGCGTGTGCAGTACAGGTCCGCTACTGATCCGCGGCTGTTTTTTGTTACTGAAAATGGCAGTGTGTGTGCAGTGCGTGTGCAGTCTGTGTGCAGTCTGTGAGCAGTGTGTGTGCAGTGCGTGTGCAGTCTGTGTGCAGTCTGTGAGCAGTGTGTGTGCAGTGCGTGTGCAGTCTGTGTGCAGTCTGTGAGCAGTGTGTGTGCAGTGCGTGTGCAGTGCGTGTGCAGTCTGTGTGCAGTGCGTGTGCAGTGCGTGTGCAGTCTGTGAGCAGTGTGTGTGCAGTGCGTGTGCAGTGCGTGTGCAGTCTGTGTGCAGTGCGTGTGCAGTGCGTGTGCAGTCTGTGAGCAGTGTGTGTGCAGTGCGTGTGCAGTGCGTGTGCAGTCTGTGTGCAGTGCGTGTGCAGTGCGTGTGCAGTCTGTGTGCAGTGCGTGTGCAGTGCGTGTGCAGTCTGTGTGCAGTGCGTGTGCAGTGCGTGTGCAGTCTGTGTGCAGTGCGTGTGCAGTGCGTGTGCAGTCTGTGTGCAGTGCGTGTGCAGTGCGTGTGCAGTCTGTGTGCAGTGCGTGTGCAGTGCGTGTGCAGTCTGTGTGCAGTGCGTGTGCAGTGCGTGTGCAGTCTGTGTGCAGTGCGTGTGCAGTGCGTGTGCAGTCTGTGTGCAGTGCGTGTGCAGTGCGTGTGCAGTCTGTGTGCAGTGCGTGTGCAGTCTGTGTGCAGTGCGTGTGCAGTCTGTGTGCAGTGCGTGTGCAGTCTGTGTGCAGTGCGTGTGCAGTCTGTGTGCAGTGCGTGTGCAGTCTGTGTGCAGTGCGTGTGCAGTCTGTGTGCAGTGCGTGTGCAGTCTGTGTGCAGTGCGTGTGCAGTCTGTGTGCAGTGCGTGTGCAGTCTGTGTGCAGTGCGTGTGCAGTCTGTGTGCAGTGCGTGTGCAGTCTGTGTGCAGTGCGTGTGCAGTCTGTGTGCAGTGCGTGTGCAGTCTGTGTGCAGTGCGTGTGCAGTCTGTGAGCAGTGCGTGTGCAGTGCGTGTGCAGTCTGTGTGCAGTCTGTGAGCAGTGTGTGTGCAGTGTGTGTGCAGTGCGTGTGCAGTACAGGTCCGCTACTGATCCGCGGCTGTTTTTTGTTACTGAAAATGCTTTTTGAGCATTGTGATTCTGTTTTTACACAGTACAGTAATACAGTCTTTCACAGACGTGTTTAAATGTAACAGATATAAGCAAGAGTATGTGTGAACCTGGCGTCATGTGTGTGCTGCGAGTGTGCATGAGCGCACCGTCTCCAGGAGAGCGCACAAGTGCTGAATGGTTTAAACACTGGCAAGAATTAAAAATAAATGAAAATGATAAACTTTAGTGACGATGCAACACTGCCTCGATTGTGCAAGTGACAATTCCTGTGTGAACTGTGCAGCTCGCTTATAGTGCAGACGCGATGTGCTGATCTGAAGCCATTTGCGCATTTAGAGAGAGCGCGGTGATTCACTCACACTGTTTGTGAAATTACGCCTCACAGAAAGTTTTCAAATCACTTTGTAAGTGAGATCGGCCTTTATAGAGACCGCCGATCAAACTTCCTAAGACATTATCGGCCGATCAATCGGAGCAGCCCTAGTTTAGAGGTCTGAGTTTATCATTGTACATTTCATGAAACCTGTGGCTCTATATATGAAGCTTTGTCTGATTATCCCAGAAGTCCATCCGGACTCATTAGACAGCTGTGGTCTGTCGGTGTGTTTGTGAAGAGGAAGGTGTGACACAGGTGTGTGTGCTGAGAACATCTGACCGATGAAGATGCTGCTGCTGAGAGGAGTTTCATCTCTGATTGACTCCGCAGGTCTGGCTCTGTGGATGAACACAGTGATCATGTGCTTCTCTTTCTCCTCCTGCTCTCTCACAAACACACTCCTGTCTAATTACTGCAGCCGTTATTTCCAGACCGTCTGCGCGCAGCATTTTTGGACACAGACAGAAAACAATGTCATTATTGACCATGTCTGGTTTCTGATGTCTGATTACGACAGGTCTCGCTCTGTTCTCCAGGACAGTAGATAATGCAGTAGATGGCGGTCCAGTTTTGAAACCAATTATGATACTAAATTATATGCAATATATGACATTAAAAAAAATAATCTAATCTCAGGGTTTGATTGAGTGGTTGTGTTTGTGCAGGTACAAGCGTGTTTTCTCCGTGGGAACTCATGGCATCACCACATACAATCCCACCACACTAGAAGTGACTAACCAGGTACTGCATGTGCTCAGACTCAAGCCTGCTGTGATGTGTGCTTACAGTACAATATGTGTGCATGTGTCATTTACATAATTATAATTATAAAATAAATAATAATAGTGATGTATTATGTTTTATATTTTTATTAAATATAAATGTATTTTTGTTTTATATTATTGATGACAAGTATATTTGTTGTTTTCATTATTGTTGTTTATGATAATGGTAATACAAATTATTATTATTATTAATAATAATAATAATGATATTATTAATATGATCTGTTGCTGTTATATTAATAACATCAACAACTCTTGTTATGCAAACAAAACCTCTGCACATATTCTATTGCCTCTGTTAAAAATATTTATATAAAGTATAAACAATTTATTTACTTTTTAAAATAATACTAAACTTCTGACATAACTAAGGCCATATGAGCACAGGAGAATAATCTCAACCAAGTGATAGTTTTCAGTCACGTGACCGGCTCGAAGACCTGGCGGCAAAACATCCAGAGAACTGCAGCACAAGACTGTCGACTTTCTGTCCGTTCCAATCCACAAATATTTAGATCAGCTCTCAAAAGAATAAAACAAAGACACGTGAACAAAATGCAAGTTTTGGCCATTAGCAATCCATATAAAGCACCTGTCGCAATCTCAATCACTAAAAACAGCGGGACGTTCTAAAACGTTTCATGTGAAAACACTTAAAGTGCTCAAGATCAAACCTTATTGATGATGCGTGCGTTATGCAGGCAAGCAAATGAGCTCGGAATATGAACGCAATGCGCTGAATGGTTAAGCATCTTCTTTATAATGGTTTTCTATGGGAAAACATTTAATATTAAACTTTGCGCATTGCCTTTATATTCTGGGTTCATCTGCTTGCCTGTGCAAAGTCTGCATCATCAATAAGGTGTGTACTGTATTTGGCCTTTAAACATCACTGTCTTACTACATTACTGCAGTCCTCATAGAAATGACTGGCGGTCAGCGGAGGAAAGCCTTGTTTTGTGTGACGTCACGTGAACACTATCAATAGTGTTATTGAAGCCCTTTCATGATCCAGTCATTTCCCTTTGAAAATGCTTCACGATACGCCACATTAAGGAAGTTAAATCTGTTGTAAATGCTGTGTAATACTGTGTTTCTCGTGGCTCTGCAGTGGCCCTACGGTGATATCTGCGGCATCGCTCCGGTCGGTAAAGGCCAGGGAACCGAGTTCAACCTCACTTTCCGCAAGGGCAGCGGGAAGAAGTCCGAAACACTGAAGTTTTCCACTGAGCATCGCACAGAGCTGCTAACAGAAGCACTGGTGAGGAATACTGCTCTGTGATGACATGCTGGGAAATGATGGAACATGCTTTATTAAAGGAGTCCTGTGTCTCGGGTCATTGCACATCTTCTCTCATTGGAGGATCTTCATCGGGTCATGACAGGCTTCATCACCGTGACCCAGACCGTCTCTTTAAAGCATGGTTTGGTCTGATGCTGTCTCTCTCTCTCCTCCACAGAGGTTCAGAACAGACTTCTCAGAGGGAAAAATCACTGGAAGAGTGAGTATTAAAAAAATCATATGATGTAGTTTAGCGATATCACACCAGCGAGAGTGCTGTTTCTCCACAATATCTGCACATTTACACAACAGTTCAGTAAACAAGAAGTTAATGTTGTGCTACATTTTAGACACAATATTGTCTGTTTCGCTCAATTGTCAATGAAAGTAGTTCCAATCAAAGCCACAGCAGAACTGTTGAGCGTCTCTGATCGACACACAGCGGTGATTCGTTTCTGAATGAATCCATGGGTTTAAATGAATCGAGTGAGTCAATGATTCAATGACTCACTCACTGCCACCTACTGGTGCTTTTAGTTTCATATTTACAGTATAATGATTTCATATTTCAGTATTCATTTAAAAAAAAACATTAATACCCATTTATTATCATTATTTATGTAATGTTGAATCAAAATGTCTTAATAAAGCTACTTTTTGTAATGTCCATACAATGCTTTTCTCATCTAACACAGTAATGACTTTAATTGACTTTTGAGGGTAATTTCTCACCACAAATTGATGTGCATAATATAAAAGTGCATAAATAATTTGTGATTAGATTAATTAATGAGTAAGTCAACATTTTAATCACAGCCTTTAATAGCCGTGGTCTTCTCGTTTTGAAGCTCTTGTTGAGTGAGTGTTGCATGTTTCCTCAGCGCTATAACTGCTTCAAGCATCACTGGAGCGACGCGCGGAGGAGCGTGTGTTTGGAGGTCACGCCGGGAGGCATCGATCAGATCGACCCTCAGAGCAACCGCGTGATCTGCTCGTACGACTACCGCTGCGTGGAGGGCTTCGCCGAGCTCTCCGACTATCAGGGAGGCTTCTGTGTGCTGTATGGAGGCTTCGGCAGACTGGTGTGTGTTCAGTCCTGATTCAGCACAGAGTGACCTGTGATTCACTCAGAACTCACCTCCTCTCTCTCACTCTCTCTCACTCCAGCATCTGTTTGCGTCCGAGCACCGTGACGAGATCATTCGCAGTGCGATCGAACACGCCGGGAGCTTCATCGGCATCACGCTGCGCCTGCGTAAGGAGCTTCTGGCGTTCGAGGGCTTCCTTGGCGAGCGTCTGGGGAAGTACGGTTCGGACGAGTGCATCACCTCACTGACCGAGTTCATCGTGCAGAAGATCACGCCGCGGCACACGGTAAGATCAGCTCTGCACCTGATGGGCTTTCTGGTGTGTGTGGGGTGGATCTGATGCATGCTCGTGGTTGTGTTGGTCTCAGGAGCCTGTGAGGAGGATCCTGGCGCTCACAGAGACGTGTCTGGTGGAGCGAGACCCTGCCTCTTACAACATCGTCACCCTCAAGCCCTTCGGAGAGGTCTGTCTGATCACAAGTGATTTCAAGAAACACATGGTCTGGTGAAACAACGCTACATTTAAAATGTATAACTGTCAAATTAGAAGCTCACTAACAATAACAGTGTCATCTGCATACTTTAAAATAGTCCTGTTTCCCTCTTACTCTGACACACGTGTGTGTAGAGAATCAATAGTAGAGGAACAAACTTAGTCAGACAGGGTGCCATGTACCCGTACTCTCTGAGTCCTGTTAGTTAAAACATCAAGAATCCAGCCCACAATATTGTTACTAAATTGTAAACTGTTCTAAAAGCCTTTCAGGTAGAACATAGGGTTGGATTGCATTAAAAGCAGATGAAAAATCAACGAATAAAAGCATAGCATGAGACGCATTACCCTCCAAGTGTTTAGCAAGTTAATTCAATAACCTAACTGTGGCGTCCTCTACTCCTCTATGTGGTCAAGTGTATGTTCAGTTTTCCTTCATTTCTTCCCTTACCACTTTTTCAAGGGTTTTTATTCAAATTGATGTAAGAGCAACTGGTCTGAAATCATTAAGAGTATTGGGACTACTCCACTCAGAAATATGCTTTATATCTTACAGGTCGGACTCTTTTTCTGTCCAATTCTAAGATATAAACTCAGAATTCGGAGATATAAATGAGCAATTCTGAGAACAAAGGTCTGAATTGTGAGAAATTGCAGTTGCAAGAAAAAAGTAACAATTGTGAGATAAAGAGATAAAATATATTTTTTTGTTTTATTTTATTCACTTCCATAGTGAATAGCGATTAACAATGCGTTTTACTTCAGTAATCTGATATATTTCAGAGCAAAACTGCTCATCCGATGAGAAACGTTGTTGGGCAGAAGTTATAGAATAGGGTTTGGATTGTGGAATAAGTGCAGGCTGCGTGTGATGCCACTTCTTTAAGATAGCATGAACTGATAATGGCATAATTTGACGTTGTATATTTTGGCCACATATTTAAGATGAGAATTGCATTAGAAATAAAACTTTATATATGGAATATAGTGTTTATGTTTGTATAATCAGAATGTGTGTGTGTGTGTGTGCGTGTGTGCAGGTGTTCGCTCTGATCTGTGACACAGACAATCCTCAGGTGTTCACCGTCGAGTTCATCCGCGGTCAGATACGCAAGTACTGCTCCACAGAAAGGTAGCGCCTCAGCGATAGCTCCTGTGTGGTTCTGCTGGTTATATCAGAGTCTGACGATGTGTGTGTCTGCAGGGACTCTCTGCTGGCGAGTCTGCTGGACAGCGTGCGGGCGTCGGGGAACAGGGACGTGTGTGTGAAGATGGCCCCCACACAAAGGGGCCAGCGCTGGGGCCTCCTCAGCATGCCTGTGGATGAGGAGGTGGAGAGCCTGCACCTGCGCTTCCTCGCTGCTCCTCCCAGTGCGTCCATTATCAGCTCATCATGCTTCTCACATTAAACTCTGTGTTCTTCTATGATATAAAGTAACCGGTGCTCAGTGATAGAATCTGATCTTCTTGTCCTCTGACTGCTGCAGGATCTTTCATGCTGTGGAGCAGGAGATTAGATTTCTAGTTCTCATAAATGTCCTGTTCTTTGCTCCGCCGGTCAATATGATGGTTTTTCAGCTAATATTAGTAAAAAGCCTCTGCTGAGAGAGCAGCACAGTGAACTTAAACAAACCTTAGATCAAGTTCACACTGAATTTACCTCTTAATACAATATCTGTAGGAGTTAATAGTAGAAGGGCTGAGGAATGATAATCATCTTCTAACCATGATAATGTTTGTGTATATATGTGTATACAGTACCATTTAAAAGTTTGGGGTCAGTAAGATTTTTTTCCATTAATACTTTTATTCATCAAGAGCGCATTAAACGGATCAAAAGTGACAGTAAAGACATTTATAATGTTACAGTCGATTTCTATTTCAAATAAATGCTGTTCTTTTGATCTTTCTGTTCACCTGTGAATCCTGAAAAATAAAATGTATCACAGTTTCCACAGAAATATTGTGCAGCACAACTGTTTTCAACATTGATAATAATCAGAAATGTTTCTTGAGCAGCAAATCAGCATATTAGAATGATTTCTGAAGATCATGTGACACTGAAGACTGGAGTAATGATGCTGAAAATACAGCTGCGCATCACAGAAATGCATTACAGTTTAACAGATATTCACATAGAAAACAGCTGTTTTAAACTGTAATAATATTTCACAGTTTTTACTGTATTTCTGATCAAATAAATGCAGCCTTGCTGAACAGAAGAGACTTCTTTCTGAAATATTAAAAAAATCTTACTGACCCCAAAAATGAAAGATATGATGCATCTATATTATGTTATTCAAAAATGAAAACATACTAAAAACTAAAATAACTCATTTATATTGAAGTAATTTGTGTGAGATGTAAATAATCCATTCAATAAAAAAAGAAAATAATTTGTCAATGGTTTTCATTTTGGTTGTAAACTCGAGTAACTTTGTTCTGTTTGTTGTTCTTTCTTGTAGATTGTAATTTTGCAGATGCAGTGTTCAGATTTAACGTCAACATCTCTTACAGTGGAGTAATACACGCCGTCACTCAAGACGTGAGTGCTTCATTTCTGTCCTGTGGGGTCAGTGTTTTCATGTTTTTATTTTAATTCACATTATCTCTCCGTTCTTTCTCTGTAGGGTCTTTTCTCAGAGAACAAAGAGAAACTGATCAGCAATGCCATCCTGGCGCTCTTATCTCAAGATGTGGAGCTGCCGGGGCCCAACTCTGAGCTGGAGGCCCAGTTCCAGGCCCTCAGGCGTCTGGTGGCGTCCAAAGCCGGATTCCAGGCCTTCACACAGCTGCCAAAGTACAGGCCTCCGTCCTAACACACAGCACATCAGTCCTCCAGTTCACACTCACTGTTATTCTGCACTGTCCTTCTCTTGAACCGCACAGGTTTTGTCTGGGTTTAATAAAACCGCTCTGTTGTTTTAAGGTCTGGTCCCATGGGTGGACTCGAAGCCGCAATGTAAATATTAGTCCATATATCTCAGTGTGCCCCTTTTCTTTCTCATTTCTGTCCATCTGTCCCTCCTTTGGGTTAGTTTGAAACCATTTTAAGATAATCTTTACATTTCCTCTTTTTTTTGTTTAAATGCTTTACGCCTGCTCTCTCTCTCTCTCTGTAATCTCTTGGTCATATTTCATTATTTCTGGGTCACTGAGATGTATGAATTGACTGGTTGTGCTCCTGTCCACTATTTATACATCTAGGATTCATTCAGTATTTGTATTGAACCTGCAAATATTCAATGGATTGTTAGAAATGGCTTTTTTTTCTCAGTGATTTTTTTTTTCTTTTCTGGGTTGTCTATATACATGTTTATATTACAAATAAATATTTTAACATTATTTTTACAATTAGTTTTGGGGTTGTATTTCAGGTTTAGAGAGAAGTTGGGAGTGAAAACTGTTAAAGCACTGAAGAGAAACCACAACGGCGTGACGCATGCAGCTATAGACACGCTGTGTGCTCTCATGTGTGTAAGTGAAGCTCGCTGAACCTCCTCTAGGTTCACATTAACGTCTGCATCGTAACACATGGCCTGTGTGTTTCTGCAGCCGATGCACGATGACTACGACCTGCGGCAGGAGCAGCTGAACAAAGCCTCTCTGCTCTCCTCTAAGAAGTTCCTGGAGAACCTGCTGGAGAAGTTCATCAGTAACGTGGTGCGTCTCAGGCCTGTAGAGCAGCGTGATGACGGTGGAGTGATGAAGGTCACTCAGTGTGTTTATCTTTCATCAGGAGCACGGCACAGGAGCGCTGGTGATCAGCTCGCTGCTGGACTTCCTGACCTTTGCCCTCTGCGCTCCTTACAGCGAGACCACCGAGGGCCAGCAGTTCGACATGCTGCTGGAGATGGTGGCCTCCGACGGACGGACGCTCTTCAAACTCTTCCAGGTCAGGGGTCAGATATTGCTCAAAAGGCTGCGTTTATTTGATGAAAATACAGTAAAAACGCTCCTTACAGCGAGACCACCGAGGGCCAGCAGTTCGACATGCTGCTGGAGATGGTGGCCTCCGACGGACGGACGCTCTTCAAACTCTTCCAGGTCAGGGGTCAGATATTGCTCAGTAGTCTCTTCTGCTCAAAAAAGGCCGCATTTATTTGATCAGAAATACAGTAAAAAAAGTGAAATAATATTCCATATATCTCAGTGTGCCCCTTTTCTTTCTCATTTCTGTCCATCTGTCCCTCCTTTGGGTTAGTTTGAAACCATTTTAAGATAATCTTTACATTTCCTCTTTTTTTTGTTTAAATGCTTTACGCCTGCTCTCTCTCTCTCTCTGTAATCTCTTGGTCATATTTCATTATTTCTGGGTCACTGAGATGTATGAATTGACTGGTTGTGCTCCTGTCCACTATTTATACATCTAGGATTCATTCAGTATTTGTATTGAACCTGCAAATATTCAATGGATTGTTAGAAATGGCTTTTTTTTCTCAGTGATTTTTTTTTTCTTTTCTGGGTTGTCTATATACATGTTTATATTACAAATAAATATTTTAACAACAGCTTTTATTTGAAATAGAAATCTTTTGTAACATTATAAATATCTTCACTGTCACTTTTGATCAAGTTAAAGGCACAGTTCAGCCAAAAATTAACATGACCCCATGATTTACTCACCCTCGAGTCATTCTAGGTGTGTATGACTTTCTTCTTTCAGACGAATCCAATCAGAGTTATATTAAAAACTCTCCTGGCTCTTCCAAGCTTTATAATGGCAGTGAATGGGTGTTGAGATTTTGAAGCCCAATAAAGTGCGTGCATCCATCATTAAAAGTGCTCCACACGGCTCCGGGGGTGAATAAAGGCCTTCTGAAGCGAATCGATGCGTTTGTGTAACACAAATATCCATATTTACATCTTTATAAACAGTAATCTCTAGCTTCCGCTGACTGTCGTTCACACTTCACGAGAGAGGGGCGTTCCGGCGGATGACGCAGGCGTAGGCACCCATTCACTGCCATTATAAAGCTTGGAAGAGCCAGGAGAGTTTTTAATATAACTCTGATTGTATTCATCTGAAAGAAGAAAGTCATACACACCTAGGATGGCTTGTGGCGGAGTAAATCGGGCTGATTTTGGCTGAACTATCCCTTTAATGCATCCTTGATGAATAAAAGCATTCATTTATTTTGAACAGTCGTGTATTTGGTCCTTCTCTCACAGCATCCCTCTATGGCCATCGTCAAAGGCGCGGGTCTGATCATGAAGGCCATCATTGAGGTGAGTCCTGCCCTTGTTCCTGCAGCGTGTCTGTGTGTTTCTCTCTGTGTCTGATCCGAGCGTGTCGTCTGTCAGGAGGGAGATAAGGAGATCGCTAGTAAGATGCAGGAGCTGGCTTTGAGTGAAGGAGCTCTACCCAGACACCTGCACACCTCCATGTTCACCATCAGCGCTGACCAGCGGATGCTCACCAACAGGTCAGTTCAGCTCAGACTGACGATCTCACACTGTAACGCACTGCTAATCACTGTCTTCTCACACGCAGGCAGCTGAGTCGTCATCTGGTGGGTTTGTGGACGGCAGAAAACTCCACGGCCTTGAACCTGCTCAAGAGGATCCTGGTGAGCGGACTGTACATTCACGAGTGCTTTTCTTCTAAGAGTAGCACTGAAATCCTCAATCGTTGTCTGTCTTTCAGCCCACCGGTCTGCTGGCGTATCTGGACAGCTCTGATCCCGTGCCTGAGAAGGACGTCGATAGGATGCACATACGTGACAACGTCAAGATCGCCACGGTACGAGCGACTAGCCTGCTAGCCTTATTCTCAGATCTCCTCTTTTAAGCAAATATAGTATGAATCGGGTAAACTTTTAACTAATCTCACCGGTCACACTTTGTTTTAAGGTCCAGTTCTCACTATTAACCATTAACTATGACTTTTGTCTCCGTAAAACTCCTAATTTGCTGCTTATTAATAGTTAGTAATGTAATTAAGTTATTGGGTATTGGTTGTTAAGGTATTGGGTAGGATTAGCGATGCAGAATATGTGCTTTATATATACTGATAAACAGTCTCACCATACTGCTCCAATATATTGATTACTTTAAGAATTGCAAACATTTTGTGTATTGCAAGTTTCCTGAAATGTTACGTTTAAATATGCAAATGAGGTATTCTCTAATTAAATATGCTCTAATATACATTTTCTTGTTTTTATTACTTCATAAATCAGAAAATACTGTCAACAGACCGAAAAATAAACACATTTTCACCAAGGTTTTAGGATTAAAATGTTGTTTAAATCAGTGTGAATGAAATATGAACAAACCTTCAGAATACAGAGAGGAATAAAACTGTAGAGTTTGGTGTTTGTACGAGAAAAAAACTCTTTAAAGATATGGATTAGAAATTAAATCTACAGGCGCAAATCGATAAAGTGCAATAAAATAAATACTTGTGTATATAAAAAAAATTGTATTTTGGATATTTTCTTTCCAGTAGTCTGAAAAAAACAAACACTTTATGAACAGCTAAACAGCTCAAAATTTAGGAAACATGCCAAGTTCACATTTATTTCTACAGCCAGTTACTTTGAAATGTGCGTTCCTTGTCAGAATGTCTGTTTTTGTTTGGTCTGTGTGACTCCGCCTCCTGCCAGTTTTTGACACTTTGGGATGCCAGTGGTGGGGAAAAAACAGCGTACTGCAGACGTGGAAGCCAGCAAATGAACTGGGTCAGAGATCGCAGATTCTACCCGACCTAAAAAGCCTCGGCATCCACCTAAAAATCTCTATGACCAGAGCAATATTAAACACAGTTAAATCAACTCGTTCTTGTTGCATGTCCTCAATCTGGCAACCTGCGGGAGCGTCGAGTCGGAGCAGGAGACACAACGCTCTCCAATATTATGAATTTGGACCGATTGATTTGCATTGCTCATTTCATGCTCCAGCTGTCAGTATTACATACTGCACCTTTAATACACATCAATCCATTAGTAATGTTTTTTTGCAGGACCAGTTTGGCAGGAATAAAGTCCCGGAGTGGCAGCGTATCGCGGGTAAAGCTGCTAAAGAGGTGGAGAAGTTCGCCAAAGAGAAGGCTGACATCGTGCTGCTGCACTGGAGAGATAAGATGGGCATTGCTCAGAAGGAGGTGAGCGCCGTCTGCCTCTCTCTGCTCTGTGTCAGGTTTGTGCTGTTGGCTGCGGCTTCCAGCGGGTTTGTAAAGGCTAGGCATGTTAACACTGCAAGAGCTGGGCTGTTTCTCATTTTGCTGGTCTGTTTGTGGATGCTGTTCAGACAGCTCTTTATGTGTGATGCGTTTTGAACACAGGCTCTGTTGGGTTTCTCTGATCTTCTGTCTCTGGTCTTTACTAATAAACGCTCAAACATGGCTTGCTCGAGATCTGATGAAGTCCTTGTAGCCAGCTAAACATTTGCAGACCTTCACTGTGCCTGTTTCTGTATCTGATAGCACTGCTCGTCATCTCACGGCTAAAATAGGGACACACTGATTAAAATAAAATGGATAAAATTCCAGTCAGTGCCAGTAAGCTGATCAATTAATGTTGTCATAATTATATGCCATTTTTTTCTGTCCATATAATATATAGGCTATTGATTGATAAAACAATTTTTAGTCTATAATTAGGGTTGGGTACCAATATGGCACCGGTACCTATGTAACCGGTATGTACTAGAACCGAATCAAACGCAGATGCCATGCCTGAGCGATCGATTGAAATATTTGTCCTCTGGTTCTCCGAAACGGACGTAAGAAGCATCATCACTGGCACCGCACGTGAAAAATAATTTCCCGTCTAATAATACAAATCCAACACATCTTTGTAGTACCGAGAGTGTCCATGTTGTTTTCACATTCCGACTTAAAAGCACAACTCGGGAAATGAGAGCATCCGAGGAGCGCGTGAATGCAGTAATTACACTTGCTCTGATGCCAGCAGGTAGCCTTCCGTTAACTAAGCTAAACATGCTTAAATTAAAATGCCTAAAGCTAAACCTCCCTTGCATTCACATTTCTAAACCTGTTGTCCAACAAAAGAGAAAAGTATAACCTTTTTACTCCACAACACCAGTCAAATGCTTCCTTTTGTGATCTGATGAGGCTTCTTGTCACAGAATGAGGCAGAAAATATGTTCCATAGGCTACTACATCGATTAGCAATGGATTATAAATATACTTAATTATGAAAATACCAGAGATGGCTTGAATAACACAGATAAACTATATTGTCGCAGTCAAGTGTTTATTGTCTTTGTTTTATCATTCAAAAACGTTTATATGTTCTGTTTACTCAAATGAGCTCAGGATCTGTTGAGCAGCAAATACTCCAGCATGTTCTTGTCAGTCATCTCTTCTTATTCTCGACCTGTGATCAGTCAAATCTGACTCCGGTAGCTCTTGTTGGATGCAGGGTTGCCAAGTCCGCGGTTTTTTCCACAAAATTGGGATACTTTTAAACTGTTGCTATGGGTTGATTTTCCCAAGTGGGTTAAAGGTTTGAAATATTGCATAAATTACATTTGACTGAAATGCTTGTATTGAAACATTTTGCATTCTACCTATGATAAAACTTTCATGGACTTCTACATTAACTGTTCCCTCCTGGTGGAATGACCTGCCCAGCTCAATCCAAGCAGCTGAGTCCTTGATATTTTCAAGAAACGGCTGAAAACACATCTCTTTCTTCTTCATTTTGACCCTCTAACTCTAGCACTCTCTATTCTATTTCTATTCTAATGGCCAATCCATAATTTTTTGGGGGGATTTTTTATTTTTTAATTTTTTAATAAGTATCGGTTCAGGCACCGTTTAGGCACCGGAACCGTTTTAAAAGTATCGTTTTGGCACCGGTATCGAAAAAAACCCAAACGATACCCAACCCTATCTATAGTTTTAAGTGCATGAATTTAGGCATCAAATCATAATGTACAGTATAAAAAAAGGATATTTATTTTGAGATTTGCATTCATTGATGTCATCTAATCTCCATCGTAAACCCAAGCTGACATGATTTGTTGATGTGAAGCATGAGCTGCAGATGAAGGCACAGCTTTGGTATCATGAGCATGAGCTACACAATCATCATCATCGTTTCTTTGCTCTTGAGCCTCCAATCACGCAAATTCACGCACCTGCCACCAAAAGCCAGCTTCATTGAGATTCACAGTGTTCATTAGAAACGGCTGGTGTGATTGGTTGACCTCAGGACCAATAACCTCTCTTATCTCTGCCCCCCCATCGGCTCTTATTGTGGTTTCTGCTGTCAATCAATGCAGCAGGACAGGAATAACCTGGTGAGTAGTTTTATCCAATCAGAGCCTCTCTCTCTGTTAGCTCCTCCCTTTCTCATGTCAGTCACTCTGTCTCATGTAACGTGTGTGTTTTCGTTCTGCTGTCTCGTAGCTGTTGCACACTGACTGTATTAGATCAGTTGGCATCATGTCTCTCTTCAGTTTTTAGAGCAGGATCGTAACTTTATATCACGTGTTGATCATTTCACAGCTCTGGCGTCGTCAGCATTATCCTTACATCCCATAATAGCTGTATTTGTCTCTTAAACCAACATTATATGCAGAACATGCTGTAGAGATTGACCGAGAGCCGCTTGATTCGTTCTGTGTCACTGATTGCAGAACGCAAACCAGAGGCCGGTCATCCTGAGGAAGAGACGGCAGCGGATCAAGATCGAGTCCAACTGGGAGCTTTTCTACTACAAGTAAACGAGCTGCTTTAATGAATGTGAGTTCTGTGCGTGGGGTTATCAGAGTGTGTGACGCTCGTGCTTGTGTGCAGGTTCCAGCTGGATCACGCTCGCTCTAACCTGATCTGGAACCTGAAGACGCGCGAGGAGCTGCGGGACGCTCTGGAGGCAGAGATGCGCTCCTTCGGTGTGGACCGCGAGCTCGGCAGCGCTAGCGTCATCTCCTGGAACCACCAGGAGTTCGAGGTCTGCGCTTCACATCAGAAACACTGGAGAAACCCTACAGGAGTCTGAGTAGAGCAGTGCTGTCACAATACTGGAACGTCTGACTCTGATGCGATATGTTGAGTGTACAGTGTCATGGGGAAAAACCGTTAAGGGCATAAAAATCATTCATTTTTATAGATTCTAAAGTTTAGCCAGTCTGGTGTGATTTTTGTTGTGACAGTGTCTCAGTCGAACAGAAGCCAAGCAATTTGAATATAATAATAATAATAAAACTTTAAGACAGAAAATTCATAAAACAAATAATGTAAGTATTGAAAAACAGCTTTATTTCAAAGTTCAGTATTTTTGACAACGCTAGTTTATAGCATGTAAAGCACCGCTAGAACGGATCATTCATAAAACGTCTGAAAATAAAAGCCTGTTGAATTGTGTTCAGGTGAAGTACGAGTGCCTCTCTGACGAGATCAAGATCGGGGATTATTACCTGCGTCTGCTGCTGGAGGAGGATGAGAGCGAGGAGTCTGGAGCCATCAAGAGATCGTAGGTTTCTGAACACAGACGCTGAACCGTGTGCATCTCGTTAGCAGTATCCTGATCATCCGTCTGTGTTGTTCTCTAGGTACGAGTTCTTTAACGAGCTCTACCATCGCTTCCTGCTGACTCCTAAAGTGGCCATGAAGTGTTTGTGTCTGCAGGCGCTCACCATCGTCTACGGGAAGTGCTGCGAGGAGATCGGACCGTTTGCTGACACCAAGTACATCATGGGCATGCTGGACCGGGTCAGTGTCCAGCGCTAGATCGCACTGAAGTTACAGTGCTGCTGCAGTTCACTTCAGTGATGTGTCATAATCATACGCCACTAGAATCAGACCGTTTTAATCTCGTGTTTTTGCTCATCTCCAGTGTACAGACAAGCTGGAGAGAGACAGACTCATCCTCTTCCTCAACAAACTCATTCTCAACAAGGTGAGTGACGCGTCACATCGTCCCAAAGCTGCTAATAAACCTCAGAGCTCCTGTGTCGTGGAAACAGTTTATCAGAAGTTCAGTATTTTGCTATTTCTGTTCTGACAGAAAAATGTGAAGGATGTGATGGACTCTAACGGAGTGCGTATACTAGTGGATCTGCTCACCCTCGCTCACCTTCACACCAACAGAGCCACTGTCCCACTGCAGGTACTGCTAAAATACACTGCTGCTCACAAGTCTGGAGGCAAAAGAGGTGTTAAAAAATAAATAAAAATTAACACTTTTATTCATCAAGGACGCATTAAATGGATCAAAAGTGACAGTGAAGATATTTATAATGTTACAAAAGATTTCTGTTTCGAATAAATGCTGTTCTTCTGAACTTTCTGTTCATCTGTGAATCCTGAAAAATAAAATGCATCACGGTTTCCACAAAAATATTGTGCAGCACAACTGTGTTCAACATTGATAATAATCAGAAATGTTTGTTGAGCAGCAAATCAGCATATTAGAATGATTTCTGAAGATCATGTGACACTGAAGACTGGAGTAATGATGCTGAAAATACAGCTGCGCATCACAGAAATACATTACAGTTTAACAGAGATTCACAGAGAAAACAGCTGTTTTACACTGTAATAATATTTCACTGTTTTTACTGCATTTTTGATCAAATAAATGCAGCCTTGATGATCAGAAGAGAACATTTTTTAAACCGTGGTATGTTTATGATGTGTGTAATGTCACTTGTTAATGTCCCTTTAACATAACCCTTTAATGTCCTGGTGTTAAAGTCTCTGTTCATGGGTCTGTGTGTTGTTTTCAGAGTAATGTGTTGGAGGCTTCTCCGGACATGAAGCGTGAGAGCGAGAAGGAGTGGTACTTCGGGAACGCAGATAAAGAGAGGCGAGGGCCTTTCGGCTTTGAGGAGGTGAGTGTGTTCACACCGCAGCTGGAGCATGTGCAGGTGATGCAGGCTTGAAGCTCTTCTTCTGTGTGCTCAGATGCAGGAGTTCTGGAGCGCCGGGACGCTGACGGCTAAGACACGCTGCTGGGCTCAGGGCATGGACGGCTGGCGGCCGCTGCAGGCTATCCCACAGCTGAAGTGGAGTCTGCTGGCCGCAGGACAGGCCGTGATGAACGAGACGGATCTGGCCACGCTCATCCTCAACATGCTCATCACCATGTGCTCCTACTTCCCCAGCCGGTACAGCCTCGCTCTCACAGCTGCTTCAGAGCCGCACTCACACACCACACACAGTAGGATTTCATCTCATGAATCTGACATTTCTCTTGCAATTCTGAGAAAAAAGTCAGATTTGTTAGATACAAACTCAACTCACAATTCTGTTTCTTTTTTTTTCTTTTTTTTGCAAGAAAAAAAAGTCAGAATTGTGAGATGAAAAAGCTTCCATATAAATGCCATTGTGTTAAATAACAAAATATTACAAGTGGCAAAAAATGATTGCAAAAGTGTGAGAAAACTGATGTTCCTGCTGAAGAATAAGTAGAATCGTTTGATAATTTCCTAAGCAATGCAAAGACAATCAGACATGTTCATGTGTTGAAATGTTTAAAATGCATTTTTTTCTAAATAATAATGCCCGCTGTGTCTGTGTGTTTAGGGACCAAGATAATGCTATTATCAGGCCTTTACCAAAGGTGAAGAGACTCATCAGCGACAGCACCTGCCTGCCGCACATCGTCCAGGTACACATCACTAGCTCTGTGTTCCTCTAAAGCACTGTTTCTAAAGCCTGCTGACATCGCATGTTCATTCTCCTGTCCTTCAGCTGCTCTTGACCTTTGACCCCATCCTGGTGGAGAAAGTAGCTAACCTGCTGTACCTGGTGATGCAGGACAACCCTAACCTGCAGCGGCTCTACCTCACCGGAGTCTTCTTCTTCATCATGATGTACACCGGCTCCAATGTGCTGCCCGTGGCACGGTACTCTCCCTGCATCTCAGGCCATGAGAACTGAACTCCTCATAATGTGTTCTCCGAGAAATGCCATTTATGTTTTTGATAACTTGTCATATGCATAAATATGTTCTTCTCTCTAGGTTCTTGAAATACACTCACCTGAAGCAGGCCTTTAAATCAGAGGAGGTAAAGCAGATCTGACGTCTCACACAGTGCAGTTAAACACGGATGACACGGTAAATCTGAGCATGTGTTTGACCCGCAGGCTAAAGGTCATATTTAATTCAATATATTGAATTAGATTTATATTTTTATATTTTTGCTTTCAAGTTTTTATTGTTTTCAAATGTCTATATAGTTTTATTTTTATTTCAGTTTTAATTAGTTTAGTACATCACGTTAAACTAAATGAAAATGAGAAATGTTGCCTTGTTAACCAGCTGAAATAAAATAAAAAAAAATTATTTTTTTTATTTCAGTTAACATTTATTTTATTCCATGTAACAAACATGTTATGGTTTACTCTAAGCCTGAGGTAAGTTAGCACAGAAGCCTGGTTGATTGTGGAGTGTGTTGACAGGCGTCTGATGATCGAGAAGATCGCCGCTCATCTAGCAGACTTCAGTCCTCGTCTGCACTCCAGTGTTCCTTCTCCTGTCCTTCAGCTGCTCTTGACCTTTGACCCCATCCTGGTGGAGAAAGTAGCTAACCTGCTGTACCTGGTGATGCAGGACAACCCTAACCTGCAGCGGCTCTACCTCACCGGAGTCTTCTTCTTCATCATGATGTACACCGGCTCCAATGTGCTGCCCGTGGCACGGTACTCTCCCTGCATCTCAGGCCATGAGAACTGAACTCCTCATAATGTGTTCTCCGAGAAATGCCATTTATGTTTTTGATAACTTGTCATATGCATAAATATGTTCTTCTCTGTAGGTTCTTGAAATACACTCACCTGAAGCAGGCCTTTAAATCAGAGGAGGTAAAGCTGCAGATATGTGCATCTGTAGATGAATAGCACAGTAAATCTGAGCAGGTTTGATCTGTGTTGTCTGTGTTTGACCCGCAGGCTAAAGGTCAGGACATCGTTCAGAGGAGCGTGTTGGGCTCGATGCTGCCGGAGGCCATGGTGTGTTACCTGGAGAACTACGAGGCCAAGCGCTTCTCCGAGATATTCTTGGGAGAGTTTGACACGCCTGAAGCCATCTGGAGCAGTGAGATGAGGTCAGCTTCTCGTTCCTCGAGGCTCTAGAGGCCTTCTTTGCCATTTCTCTGCATCTCTTTATGGTTCTTATGTGTTTTGAAAAAGCAAAAAAGGCCAAAAGCTCAATGTGCTCAACCACAAAACATTTCAAACAGGAGAATCAAAGTTGGCACACCTCAGCTCCAAAAGTGGTGAGAACATAAATATTTTTCTACTTTTGGAGCTGTGGTGTGCCAACTTTGGTTCTTATGTGTTTTGTACCATTGAAATTGTGTTTATGAATGCTACACTAAAAAAAACTAAATTAAGGTTTCAATTTATAAAAAAATATATTTTTTAAATATTTGTTAGTTGAAGGCCTTCTGTGACTGTCTGCCCTCTGCAGGTGAAGCTGCTGAAGGACACTCTGGACGCCTGGAAGAGAGAGGTGGAGAAGAAGCCGCCCTCCATGTCTGTGGATGACGCCTATGAAGTGCTGAACCTCCCTAAAGGACAGGGACAGTGAGTCTCTTTTCTCTTTTGTAGTACTTTATTTTTTTGCACTTCTTAGTGCCAAAACCAGTCATTGTTTAGTTTCACTTGACCCTTTCATCACATTCTGACCCTTGAGAATTAAAAAAACCTTGTTTTGCTACTGTACCTTTAAGACTTTTATATGTATATTACTAATTTTTTTGATTGCTTAACCTCTTTTTGCATGCAGAGAGAATACACATCTCTCGTTCTGACAGCTTCTCATGTGACACTATAACATCTGAGAGTAGTGATTATTGATTGTAATCTTTGTTGCTTTTTTTAAAGGCATGAAGAGAGTAAAATAAGGAAAGCTTACTTCAGATTGGCCCAAAAATACCATCCAGACAAAAATCCGGATGGCAGGGTATGTACAACAGTTCATTGAGTGTCATTATCAGTGAATGAATTCTAAACTATAACCAAGCGTGCTGTGTGTGTATTCAGGACATGTTTGAGAAAGTCAACAAAGCCTACGAGTTCCTGTGCACCAAATCGGCCCGTATTGTGGACGGTCCTGACCCAGAGAACATCATCCTGATCCTCAAAGCCCAGAGCATCCTGTTCAACAGACACAAGCAGGGTTCGACACGCTCCTCTCAGACACAGCTCCTGATCTCCAGACGCTCAGAGACTGATCTCCTTCTCTCTCTCCTCAGAACTGGAGCCGTATAAATACGCCGGCTACCCCATGCTAATTAAGACCATCACCATGGAAACGGGTGACGGGCAGCTGTTCTCCAAGACCTCGGCTCTGTTACCGGCTGCTGCTGAGCTGGCCTTCCACACCGTCAACTGTTCAGCGCTGAATGCGGAGGAGCTGCGGCGGGAGAACGGCATCGAGGTCTGCATGTGTTGACATTACCAGCAGCAGTCACACTGTGGCTCTTCACTGTCTGCTGAGTGTTGATGAGGCTTGTGTGTTGTGTGTCAGGTGCTGATGGAGGCTCTGTCTCGCTGCGTGTCTGTGCTCACCGCCTCCAGCAGACCGGAGGACATGGCAGTGCAGGTACATCAGCACATCAGCACAGCCACACGAGTAAAGAGTGAATACAGTGAGCTCCGAGTGTGATTTTGTGTGTATTGTGGGTGTTCTTCAGGTGTGCGGGCACGTCTGTAGGTGCTATAGCGTCGCTGCTCAGTTCGAGGAGTGCAGAGAGAAGATAGTCGAGCTTCCCAACATTATTAGAGATGTTTGTCACATTCTCTACTACAGCAAGGTAAGAACACACATCGCTTTCTTACACAAATCTGACTCCTGTCCACTGTCAGAGAGCAGGACACAGCTCTGCATCTCAACTAGAAAACCTCTTTCTGTATAATTTAATGAGGTATACAACTTTACAGACACTGGCCCTTAAAAGTGTCATATTGTACTCTTTTTATTAAGGTATAGGAAATATTATAGTAAAGATCACTTAAAATTTTAATCAAGATTTTTTTCCATCAAAAATGTAATTGTTTTATTGCTATAATTATTACAAATTGTATATGTGTCCCTGGAGCACAAAAGCAGTGTTAAGTCGCTGGGGTATATTTGTAGCAATAGCCAACAATACATTGTATGGGTCAAAATTATCTTATTATTTATCTTTTATGCCATCATTAGGATATTAAGTAAAGATCATGTTCCATGAAGATATTTTGTAAATTCCCTACTGTAAATATATTAAAACTTATTTTTTGATTAGTAATATACATTGCTAAGAACTTCATTTGAACAACTTTAAAGATGATTTTCTCAATATTTAGATTTTTTTGCACCTTCAGATTCCAGATTTACAAATAGTTGTATCTCAGCCAAATATTGTCCTATCCTAACAAACCATGCATCAATGGAAAGATTATTTATTCAGCTTTCAGATGATGTATAAATCTCAATTTCGAAAAATTGACCCTTATGACTGGTTTTGTGCTCCAGGGTCACATATTATTTATTATATATTTTATAAATTATATAAATAAAATGTATTAATTTATTATAAATGTTTTATTACATTTTATTTTAACGCTTTACAATGTCTTTGTTACACGTGTTACATGTACTATCTATAGTAATAACAGTAAATTATGCATAAATACTAGCAACTAACCTGAACCTGTTAACGAGTCATTTGTCCAGTTAATGGTCTGGATAGACTAGTGAGAGAGTTGTGTTGTATTGTTTGTGTGGATAAGTGATGTTTTCATACACCGAGTCTCAGAGTGTTTCTGTTTGCCGTGTCTCAGGGTCTGCCGCGCTTGGCGTCTCTGGCGGTGGAGTGCGTCAGCTCCTTCGCGGTGGACTTCTTCCTGCAGACGCACCTGTACCAGGCTGGAGTTCTGTGGCACCTGCTCTTCACGCTCTTCAGCTACGACTACACGCTGGAGGAGAGCGGCGTCCAGGCCAGCTGAATCTCTGTTAAACTGTAATGTATTTCTGTGATGCGCAGCTGTATTTTCAGCATCATTACTCCAGTCTTCAGTGTCACATGATCTTCAGAAATCATTCTAATATGCTGATTTGCTGCTCAACAAACATTTCTGATTATTATCAATGTTGAAAACAGTTGTGCTGCACAATGTTTTTGTGGAAACTGTGATACATTTGATACATTTTTCAGGATTCACAGATGAATAGAAAGTTCAGAAGAACAGCATTTATTTGAGATAGAAATCTTTTGTCACATTATAAATGTCTTTACTCTCACTTTTGATCCGTTTAATGTGTCCTTGATGAATGAAGTATTCATTTCTTTAAATGTAGAGTGTCTGACAGCTGTTAAACACTGGTCTGTGTGTGTTTCTCAGTATCCAAAGGCGTTTGCGTCGAGTCTCTTGGACTATGTGGGCTCTCAGGCTCAGTATCTGCACACGCTGCTGGCGATGACGCAGACTAATAAAGTGGAGTCGCAGCAGCACGCTCCGAGACTGCGCTGGGCCGAGATGGCGCTGGAAGCTCTCCGCAACGTCATCAAGAACAACCCAGGTGCCTGAAACACTGCAGACTGATGCGTGTGTGTGTAGAGGCTGGTTAGTGATGTGTGTGTGTGTGTCGCAGGCTCTGAGACGGAGTGCATCTGTCACTTCAAGCTGCTCTTCTCTCTGCTGAGGGTCCACGGCGCCGGAAGAGTCCAGCAGCTGGCTTTAGAGGTGCATTAGAAACCAGAAGTCTGTGCTTCATACTTCACTCACATTGGAACATCATCTCTGTTAACACTGTGTGGTTTGCTGTAGGTGGTGAACACGGTCACATCAAACCAGGACTGTGTGGTCAACATCGCTGAGTCTCTGGTTCTGCCCAATCTGCTGGTGCTGCTGCACTCCTTACCCTCCAGTAAGACTAATGAAACATAACATGCGTTCAGAACAGATGGATCCTCACAGGGACTGCTGTGTTGCAGGGTTACTGCAGTTAACTAAAACACAGGAACTAAAATTAAAAAAATTAAAAATATATGATTTCGTTACTTAAAATAAATGTTATTAATGGTAATGCTATATATATATATCAGAATATTTAATAAAAACACACACACACACGCACACACACTCACACATCTCTGTGAATGCAGTATTTTTTACAGTGGCATTAAAATATTTCAACTTATGGATTTTTATCTGTACATATTCTTTCATTGTTATTAACGTTCATAATATTCGCTATATTATTTTAAGACAACTACACTGCTTTTATGTGTTTTATCTATTTTAATTTAATATGCACTTTGAAATGCTGTAAGTGCTTTATAAATACATTTGGCCTGACTTTAATAATTCAGTTGGGCATAAAATCCATAATAAAGAGCTAATTGTTATTATTTATATTTATAAAATGCCTGTAAAAAGCCCTGATTTCTCGTATGCAAATGTCAACATTATTGATAGTATTGAAGGTTCCAGTGTTTTTCCCTCCTCTGGTCTAACGCTCGTGTCTCTGGCGTCCGCAGGCCGTCAGCTGGTGCTGGAGACGCTTTACGCTCTGACCTCCAACACCAAGATCATCACTGAGGCCATGAACAGAGGTGTGTGCGTGTGCGTGAGCGTGAGCGTGTACGTGTTCGTGTGCGTGAGCGTGTGTGTGTGCGTGACCGTGCGCGTGTGTGTGTGGGTGTGGACACGTCTTCAGTGATGCTCTGGTTTAGCTGATCTTAGAGCAGACGCAGCTGTTTGTGTCCGTCTCCTCTGACCTCTGTCTGTCTCTCAGGTGCGCTGATCTACCTGCTGGATCTGTTCTGTAACTCCACCCATCCTCAGGTGCGCACGCAGACGGCTGAGCTCTTCTCCAAGATGACCTCGGACAAGCTGGTGGGGCCCAAGGTAAGAGCCCTTCAGTTTCTCCCGTATCGGATCGTTGTTTTGAGTTAAACGGACAGTGTTTTCTATTACATTGCCAGCACTACTGCATGTGTTTTATCACTCGATCACCTGTGTTTCTGTCTCTCTCAGGTGCGTCTGACGCTGATGCGCTTCCTGCCGGCCGTGTTCATGGACGCCATGCGTGATAACCCCGAGGCGGCGGTGCACATATTCGAGGGAACGCACGAGAACCCCGAGCTGATCTGGAACGACAGCTCGAGAGAGACCGTCTCCACCAGCGTCAGAGAGATGATGCTGGAGTGAGTCCTCTGACCTCAGATCAGTCCTTCCTCTTCCCTCTCCTCGGTTCTCCTGCTCACTCACTCTGCTTCTGTTCCCACAGGCACTTCAAGCAGCAGAAGGACAATCCTGACGTCAGCTGGAAGGTGAGATGGAGCTGAATTAGGGCTTCCAGTTTAGATTTACAGTCTTACTGCTCAAAATTAAGAGTTCGATGAGATTTTTCTGCATTTATTTGACCAAAAGTACAGTAAAACTGTGAAATATTATTACAGTTTCAAACAGCTGTTTTCTATGTGAATATCTGTTAAACTGTAATGCATTTCTGTGATGCGCAGCTGTATTTTCAGCATCATTACTCCAGTCTTCAGTGTCACTCTGTTAAACTGTAATTTATTTCTGTGATGCGCAGCTGTATTTTCAGCATCATTACTCCAGTCTTCAGTGTCACATGATCTTCAGAAATCATTCTAATATGCTGATTTGCTGCTCAACAAACATTTCTGATTATTATAAATGTTGAAAACAGTTGTGCTGCACAATATTTTTGTGGAAACTGTGATGCATTTTATTTTTCAGGATTCACAGATTAATAGAAAGCTCAGAAGAACAGCATTTATTTGGAATATAAATCGTTTTCTTCTCTGTTCTTGCTGAGTGAATGTGTGTGTTTCTGCAGCTGCCGGATGATTTCTCGGTGGCCTACGGAGCGGGTCAGGGCGAGCTGGAGGTCGGCGGGGTGTTCCTGCGGATCTTCATCTCTCAGCCCGGCTGGGTTTTACGGAAGCCCAGAGAGTTCCTGGTGTCGTTGATGGACACTCTGACCGCACTGCTGGAGAAGAATAACCCGAACGTGAGTGTGACTGCAGCAGACACACAGGATTGATATGAGTGGCCGTCTGTATGGATGTGGTGTTCTCCTGTCATCAGGGTGAGGCTCTGGAGACGGTGAGCACCGCAGCCGTGTGTCTCTTCAGCACGCAGACGCAGCTGGCTGATCAGGTTCCTCCTCTCGGTCATCTGCCTCGTGTCCTGACCGCGCTCAACCACAAGAACAACGCCGTGCCCAAGAGTGCCATCCGACTCATCCACGTGCTCTCAGACAACGAGGTAGAGCTCAAACACACCCTCTGCATGTGATGCGGTGAATCTGAGTGTGGTTTGATGATGGCTGAGCCGTGCTGCTGTCGTTTGTCTTGCAGCTGTGTGTGCGCTCCATGGCAGCGTTAGACACCATCGGCCCGCTGATGACGGGGATGAAGCTCAGGGCTGATATGGCAGGACTGGCCTGTGAAGCTCTGAACCGCATGTTCCAGCGAGAGCAGACCGAACTGGTCGCACAGGTGACGCACACACTAGAGCATTTTTTTATTAATTTATACACTACTATTCAAAAGTTTGTGGTTGGCAAGAGTTAGGATTTTTTTTTACCAAGGCTGCATTTATTTGTTTAAAAGTACAGTAAAAACAGTAAAAATGTGAAATATTATTACAGTTTAAAACAGCTGTTTTCTATGTGAATCTCTGTTAAACTGTAATTTATTTCTGTGATCAAAGCTGAATTTTCAGCATCATTACTCCAGTCTTCAGTGTCACATGATGCTTCAGAAATACATTTTTCTGATACATTTTATTTTTTTTAGGATTCTTTGAATATATATTCAAAAGAACATCATTTATTTGAAATATAATTTTTTTTTATTAAAAAAAAGTTTTCACTGAATGTTTTGATCAATTTGATGCATCTTTGCTGAATAAAATATTCATTTCTTAACATTTGTTATTATTATTATTAATAGATTCATTGTAATTGAATGTTCTCTGGTGTTCAGGCTCTTCGGGTGGATCTGGTGCCGTACCTGCTGAAGCTGTTGGAGGGAGTCGGGTTGGAGACTCTTGAAAACCCATCAGCAACCAAAGCTCAGATTGTCAAAGCGCTCAAATCCATGACCCGCAGCCTGCAGTTCGGAGAACAGGTATCATCCTCGTCCAGCAGCGCAGTAGAACCCTCTGGAACTGAAGTCAGTGATCTGAAATGACGTGTGTGTGGTTTGTTTCAGGTGAATGAGATCCTCTCTCGTTCCACTGTGTGGAGTGCCTTCAAAGACCAGAAACACGACCTCTTCATCTCCGACTCCCAGACCGCAGGTTACCTGACGGGTGAGTCCAGCACACAGCGTCTCATGTGAGGGATGAGCAGTCCCGTACTGACTACTGACCCGTACTAACCCATACTGACTCGTACTGACCACTGACCCGTACTGACCCATACTGACTACTGACCCGTACTGACTACTGACCCATACTGACACTGACCCGTGCTAACCCGTACTAACCCGTACTGACTACTAACCCGTACTTACTCATACTGACCCGTACTGACCTATACTGATTACTGACCCGTACTAACCTGTGCTGACTACTGACCCGTACTGACTACTGACCCGTGCTAACCCGTACTGACCCATACTTTTTTGTTATAAGAAAAAAGTTATTAAACCTGTTATACTGTATTATGACAGCATTTTTTTTTAAACTTAATTTCAATATCGTGATAATACCGTATACCGTAATAAAAGCACTAGCAATTAATCGCAACATGAAAATTTGATACCGGCATATCCCTACTACTGACCCGTACTTACTCGTACTGACCCATACTGACTAACTACTGACCCGTACTAACCCGTACTGACTACTAACCCGTACTTACTCATACTGACCCGTACTAACCTGTACTGACTGTAACTGGTCTGATATGAGCTGCTCAATGTCTGGTCTTTCTGCTGCGGTTTCTGCATCTGCTGGTTCTGATGTCTGCTTGCTTCCTCTCTCTTTCTCTGCGCTCTTCTTTTCCTCACTCTCTCTCTCCTCAGGTGTGTCCACTCCGTCTCTCCTGGCGGGCAGCAGTCCGCTGCGCAGTGGGCTTTAGTAGCTCACTTGGTTTTTCCCAGCCTCTTCTTTATTACTGTAAAGCAGGTAGACTCTCCTCTGATGGCTTCATCTCTCTTTCTGCTTCATTTCATACTTATTTCCATCTGTGTTTCCACTCTTCACGTGTAGCGCTGATGCTGCTTTAGCTGTAATGAGTGTTTTCCATTGAAGGTCACGTTCACAGCCAGATATCAGTAGAACATTTCATCCACATCTGTGAAGTTCCAAATGGAAAATGTCATCATTTACTAAAGCTACATGATTAATCAAAATAAAACTGAAATCGTGATATGGATTATGGCAAAGCCTGCAATTTGATAAACTAAATATCTGCGCTGTGTTTCAGTGAATCGTGTCACTGTGTTCATTTACACGTGAGCAGCTCATGATCCGCCGGTGTTTTTAGCGTCTCAGAGCATCTCGGCTCACAGTGAATGATCCACTCCATCTGCACCTGTGATGAGATCGAGTCGCTTTAACATGCATTTGGGAATGAAACACACGCCAAACATCGTCACAAACTTGTAATGAGAAGCACTTATAATTAGAGATGCACCGATTGCAATTTTCTTGGCCGATTCCTGACCTGCCTATACTGATTTTTGCTGATTCAGATTTTCTTTCTAAGAACTATAATTGACAGCATACACAAACAAAAATCTACTTTTTTCAATGCAAAAAAAAAAATTTACATCATAAAAGAAAATATTAAACATTACAATTCCCCCATTCTGGACTAAGTTACAGATGTTCTCTCAAAATAAAGTGCTCTGTGACTGGAAAGAGGTAAAAATGAGTTGCTGTATGTAACAAAACAGATGTAATTTCCCACTGTGTTTATAAATGGTCATTTTTTTCCCCCCTAACCTTATTAAATGTATCATCTTTCACATCAAATTCTTACATTGTTTCAATGAATTCAGGTAAAATAAGAAACTGTATATTTGTTACCATTCAAATCAAATCGGTATGAACAAACTCCATCTTTCCACTGCAGAGGAAACACAGAAGCTGCATCTGAAGTGGCATTAGATGTGTTTACAGACTGTTTGATGAAGCTGAGCTGCCTTAAATGCATTTACACCGCAACATTCCAAATGCATAATTGTATAAGATTAATGTTTTAAATAATTTTTTTAACAAACAAATAAATGTTGGGAAAAATGCAATGATACTTTTAAATATGAAACCAAAGCACCAATAGGAGGCGGCATTTTCTCTCACTTTTAATGAGTGAGTCATTGAGTCATTCATTCAACCGATTCGTTCAGATGGCTGATTCATTCAGAAACGAGGCAAGTGACTCTTTATGAATGGATCACTGAATCATTGACTCACTCGATTCGTTCAAAAACGCAGATTGATTCAGTAACGAAACAGCATTTTGTTACTTGGAGACACAAAACAGTTCTGCTGTGGCTTTGGAGCTATTTTCATCAGCGAACTGGAGCAAAAACAGTCAATATTGTCACTTAATTTTAACTTCTTGTTTATTGAATGACTATTGTATAAAATCAGTGTCACATTGAAATCATGCTGATATTCTGGGAAACATCTTGGTCGTGTAATGTTGCTTACCTATATCATATATTATAAATATCTTTTTTTTTTTTTCATCTATAACTTTCTGTGAGTGCTGTTGCGCTCTTTTGATTTGATTTCTGGACGTCTCCCTCTCACTCAGAGCCTCTTCTGGCACGATATAAATACATCATCAGTCTCCATTTACACTGAATGCAGTAAAATCACAATCATTCTCACGTGAAAATTTTTGGTGCTTCCCTGTTTTTTTTGTTTTTGTTTGTTGTTTTGTTTTTAGTTATGGACGTTTTAATCAGGCTTCTTGTCCGGTCAGGCAAGTACATTTCTCTCTCACTTGCCCCTTTAAAAAAATAATCTAGTCCCAGACGAGCGTTAATCGAGCCCTGTGGTTCCCCACGGTTTACTTCGGCCCTTCATGTATTACAAACTGCGAACTTGGTGTCGTCTTCACTCACAGTGAAGAACTTCCACACCGACGACATGTTTACATGCGGATGTGAGCGTCTAATTCTGTCTTAATTCTGATCCCTGGCCGGCCGATCGGTGCATCTCTACTGATAATCGTGAAATGCTGATGGTGTGTGATGTGTGATGATGATGGTGATGATGATGCTGTGTGATGTGTGTGATGATGATGATGGTGTGTGTGTGATGATGATGGTGTGTGATGTGTGATGATGATGGTGATGATGATGGTGTGTGATGGTGATGATGATGATGGTGTGTGATGTGATGATGATGATGGTGATGATGATGATGATGTGTGTGATAATGATGATGGTGTGTGTGTGATGATGATGGTGTGTGATGTGTGATGATGATGGTGTGTGATGGTGATGATGATGATGGTGTGTGATGGTGATGATGATGATGGTGTATGATGGTGATGATGATGCTGTGTGATGTGTGTGATGATGATGGTGTGTGTGATGATGGTGATGATGCTGTGTGGTGTGTGATGATGGTGTGTGATGGTGATGGTGATGATGATGGTGTGTGATGATGATGGTAGTGATGATGCTGTGTGATATGTGTGATGATGATGGTGTGTGATGGTGATGATGATGATGGTGATGATGATGATGATGGTGTGTGATGTGTGATGATGGTGGTGTGTGATGGTGATGGTGTGTGATGGTGATGATGATGATGATGATGATGATGCTGTGTGATGATGATGATGATGGTGTGTGTGATGATGGTGATGATGATGCTGTGTGATGATGGTGATGATGCTGTGTGATGTGTGTGATGATGATGGTGTGTGTGATGGTGATGGTGTGTGATGATGATGATGGTGTGTGATGGTGATGATGGTGATGATGCTGTGTGATGTATATGATGATGGTGTGTGTGTGTGATGATGATGGTGCAGATGATGTTGGTGTGTGGTGTGTGTGATGATGATGATGATGGTGATGATGGTGTGTGATGGTGATGATGGTGGTGGTGATGATTGTGATGATGATGCTGTGTGATGTGTGTGATGATGATAATGGTGTGTGTGATGATGATGATGATGATGGTGATGATGCTGTGTGGTGTGTGATGATGGTGTGTGATGGTGATGATGATGGTGTGTGATGATGGTGTGTGATGATGGTGATGATGATGGTGTGTGATGGTGATGATGGTGATGATGATGATGGTGTGTGATGATGATGGTGTGTGATGGTGATGATGATGATGGTGTGTGATGGTGATGATGATGGTGTGTGATGGTGATGATGGTGATGATGCTGTGTGATGATGATGATGGTGTGTGTGATGATGCTGTGTGGTGTGTGATGATGGTGTGTGATGGTGATGATGATGCTGTGTGATGATGATGGTGTGTGATGTGTGATGATGATGGTGATGATGCTGTGTGATGTGTGTGATGATGATGATGGTGTGTGTGTGTGATGATGGTGCTGATGATGTTGGTGTGTGGTGTGTGTGATGATGGTGTGTGATGGTGATGATGATGGTGTGTGTGATGATGATGCTGATGATGATGGTGTGTGGTGTGTGATGATGATGATGTGTGTGATGATGATGCTGCTGCTGCTGATGATGATGGTGTGTGGTGTGTGTGGTGTTCAGGTCCAGGAGTGGCAGGTTATCTGACAGCAGGCAGCGGCTCTACAGTCATGCCGAGTGTCCCGCCGCCCGTAGACAACGACACCGGAGACTCATGAAACACCAGACAAACCCGGACACAGACAGACCGCTCTCCGGAGCGCCGCCATCCTGATCCTGATCCTGATCCTGATCCTGAGCAGAGAAGATGGAGTGACAGACAGACAGAGAGAGAGAGCGTTCATCATCCTCCCACACAGCACTTCACTGACTCCTGCGTTTTAACACTTCCTCTTTCATTTTATATCCAGTCACATCTCGTAAATCATTTCTTTCCATGGAGAGTAAAATAGTTTACTTTTGTATTGAGATATTTTTATGCGTTTGTCTTCGTTTCGGTGAGCTGATGAATGGCGGCCATGTTTGGCTCTGATTCGTTGTCTTTTCCTGTCTCTTCGTCTTCCTGCGTCTCACATTCAGCTCATGTCTGGACTTATATCTGTCCCCGTCTCAACACGCTTTCCATTTTATTAAATGCTTCATGCATCTCTCTGTTCTTATTTTTATTCTGAAGTCCTCGAGTAAGTGCTTGCTATCAGAAGGAAAGAGAAGCTTGAGAAGGAACCTGTCGAACTGTGATTATTGATCATGAATTTGTGCCGCACTGCTTGAAATCTGTCCTGGTTTGTCTCTCGTCTCATCGTCCTGTAAACCGACAAAAACCTTCCTTCCCCAGAAAGCACTCGACTATTTATACCTGAATAAATAAAGACCAACTGAAAACGAGCGTCTGAAAGAACAAATTGTACTGACTGATTACAAATGTATGTGAAACACTAGTGCAATTGTGAAATGTTAAATGTAATATGCGTACATAAACTTTCTATATTGAATGTACATTAATAAAAAGTAAATCAGTTGCACTTGTACATAAAATTTTAAGAATAAAAGGGAATCCACAGCTGTTGGCTTTTTGTTTTTCTTTTTGATGCACTTTATATGATAAGGAAGAATGAATCTCATTTTCCCCAGACCACTGAGAAACACGAGATCAGGACAGGTTTGGTTCTCTCATGCTGTTGTGTGTGAATATATATATATATATATATATATTTATCTAGACATTGTGTTCAGCTTATTTGATACAGTAATGGAAAAATATATTGCAATCCTTTTGCATTCATTTGCCAAACTTAAAGAAAAAGAAAAAAACATAGTGCACTAAACCCGTTTAACCAGTGTTTATGATTACCAGTTTACAACATCAAGCAGCAGAACGGATTGTTTTTTGTAGAGATAAATAACTGGACGACTCGCACATTCAGTTTAAACACATCTGCTCTTACATTAAAAATCAGGTGGATAAAAGAGTGTGATGGTCAGGGTTCATGCATTCATGCGTGTCCACACGAGGGAGACATATCTACATCTTTACTGTACCTAAACTAACTAACCAGCATGATGCATTATTTTCCAGAAGCCTGTATTAATCCACACAAGCTAACATTCAGTGGTCAGTTTTGTGTCAGAAGTCAGTGTGGAACCATCAGCCGGAACATCAGAGCAGAGCGTCTGTCTGTCTTTAGTGTTGTGTTGCTCAGTAGAGTGTGTGTGAGTGTGTGTGAGTGTGTGTGTGTGTGTGTGAGTGAGTGTATGTGGTGTGTGTGTGTGTGTATGTGTGTGAGTGTATGTGTGTGAGTGTATGTGTGTGTGTGAGTGTATGTGTGTGTGTGTGAGTGTATGTGTGTGTGTGAGTGTGTCTGTGTC